TTTACATATCTTGTCTTAATGTAATATTGTAAACTTGATGGTTCAGTAATACTTAAATTTTTAAGTCTACTTATTCTAGAGTCTTGTCTAGAGGAAAATCTTGCAATAAGATTATCTCCTTCTAAGCTGACACTATTTCTTCTTATTAATTTTCCTTCAGAATTAATTTCTTTTGCTTGTTTATGGAAATCAAGCATTATTTGTTCTGGTATAGTGACTTCATGTTCTTGGTATTTTCTAGGAGCTATGTATTGTGCTAATTCCTCAAAATCTTTATGTATGATAATATTATCAGTTATTTTTCTTAAATTGTTATGATGGCTAGTACTAAAAGCAAAAATTGATTTTATGCTTATACTATCAGCCTTACTTCTTCGTAACATTTTCAAATTACCAATTCTATAGTATAAATTGAAACTTTGGTCAATATTTTCATCACTACTAAATTCTATTTTAATATTTTGACTTGAAGATGGGTTAGTATTCATCTTTATATTTTCCATTTTTTCAGTTAATTTTTCTAACTGTTTTTTATATTCTTCATACTCTTCACCTGTAGATTCTAAGAATTTTTGTTCTATTTCTTCTACATCTGTTATCATATATTGTTTTTCTTCATGCTTTTTTCCTTTATTTTTTGTTATTCTAAAATCTTGGGGTGGATTAATTATAATCCTATCTTTTCCTCTAAGATTATTATCTAATAATGCATTTCCTACTTGTAGATTATATTCTAGATTTTCTAGTCTTTTATGTATATCTTCAAAACTTTCATTCGTAGTGTTTTTAGGTAAATAGGGATAACTAGGTTTTTTATGTTTTTTAACCTTTTCCAAAAATTCTTCAATTATATTTTCTTCATCTACTATATTCATCATTATTTTTGGTTCGTAATCTGGCTCTGATACCATTTGGGCGGAGTGTGCAGCGGAGAGGTTAATATTTTTGAGCCAATTAGATTTTTCATAAGTATTTAAAATATCACAATAGAATTTATAAAATTCACTATTTTTTACCAATATTTTTTCTTGAATAATTATGTTTAATTCTTTAATTCTTCTTCTTAAATTAAGAATTAATTTATATATATTTTTTTCCATTTTAATTGCTTCATCATCTATAGAATCATTTTTATTTTTTATTTTTGGATCTAGATATTCTACAAAGAAATCTTTTAGATCTTCTTCCAAATAGGTTAATTCATTTTCTGTAGCGTTTTTTAGATCAATAAAATTTTGTATAATATTTGAATCTAAATTTATTAAAAAATTTTGATCTATATATCTTTGAGGACTTATTTGAAGGTTTTTAGACATTGTAGTGGCTTTGGTTGCAATTTCTCTATTAAGGGTATTTTTGGAAAATTGGTTGTTTGGAGACTGGTTTTCAAATGTTTTTATTTCTTAGACTAATTTGGAAAATTCTCCTTTTATTTAGGCTATTAAGCTGTATTTCCCAAAGAAACGGGGAGCAGAGATTGTGGGAGAGGATGAGAGAGACATATCTAAGTTTGGGGTTTGAGCTAGGTTTTAACTTATTTCTTTATTTTGGGGGCTTGGGCTATTGTTAATTTGAACACGGGCTATTGGTGATTTGGAGATGGGCTAACGAAAAATAAATAATAAAAAATGGACCGGGCTAAGCCTGGCATGGGTTGTAGCACAGGCCAGTCTCTACCTAGATTCGCCTTTGAGAAAATGTATCATGTGATGTAAATAAGAATGGTACATAAGTTGAAATGTGAACTCATCTGTAGAACAATATAAGGCAGCTCAAATTCTAATATTTTTGGCATATGTCCAGTTTAAGACTTTTTGAACAAGTTATTCACCCATATTCATCTTGTGGGATTTCAGCTGCAATCAGGGGCGGACCCAGACACTTCGACTTGTGGGGTCAAAAATGAATTTTTTTCGAACAACGTATCATGAACAAAAAGGAGAAATTGGTGGTTTGCTATTCGTGTTCGGTGTTTACACTTTGGGAAGAAATTGACGGATTATAGGCAAATAATACCTGTAGAAAAAAGAAGCTATAGAAGCAATGCAGACTATATGTAACTCGAGTACGGCTCTTATCACTGATCACTCAGGCATGACCACTGTCAATTTAGAGTATATCATCAGAAAGTGCAAAACTAAAAGGCTGACTGATTGACTGACTCTCAACAGGAAAAAAAAAAATTCCAAAAAATTGTGAGGTCATTTGACCCCACATGACCCCATGTGGGTTCGCCCCTGGCTGCAATCATTACTTTTAGGAGCTCGCCACATTCAGAATGTTTATATAAGTTGGGAAGGTGATCTAGATACACATTTGATGGTACATTGCATTGCATTGTACATGAAGCATACAATGTAACAAAGTTATAATTTGCACGAATAATGTCTTATAGTAAATGACAAAATATGACTTTTATTTGAATGTTACACGTTGGATGGACATCACGTTGTTTGGAATAAAAGATTGAATTGTTATATTTCTTTAACTGCTTATTATCTTGATTAATTTCGTACCTTAGACTATTTTCTGGTTCTTGATGGAACTCGTAGACACGTGATGATTTTGGGTCACAATAGAAGGGATGGCTTCGGACTTCTATTGGTTCTTCGTTGAACTCAGAGATAAGCGATGACTTGGGTTAGTCGTTAATGGGTTATCTTCACCCTTCTAGTGGTTCTTGGGTGAATTACAGTTTGGGGTTGTCATTTTGGATTTGTATGTTCAACAACATGTGATATTCGAATTGAACGATACTAAAGATGGAATGTGAATGTAAGTTATAGCGAGTAAATGAATTGAAGAAGATGATTTTGAAAGATCGATTGAAAAGTTTTAGGATTTGAATATTGTTGAATACGATTTTTATTTATTTATTTATTTGTATTATAAGGGAAGATATTTGGGTATTTTTCTAACAATAATGAAGAGATTGAGCTTTGAAAATGAATGACACACAGTTGTTGAAGAATTCGACAAGCATTGAAAATGATGATGATTGTGTGTGTTTCAATCTAATTTGAAATCGATTTTGAAGGTAATTAGATTAAGACATAATTGGGATTGTGAGGGTCTAATTCTGAAATCGATTGTTTGATTGAGCAAATTATGCTTTCTAAATTGATATTGATTTTTGGGTAAGAATTCCATTTTTTTTTTAATATTACAGTATTATTTGAGTAAAATCGATAAATTGTATTAAATGAATATTTTATTAAAATGATGCTTGTGGTGTAATTTCCACGATTTTCAAAACTCAAACGCCACCATTTGGATTTTTCTTCAATCTTTTAAAGGTGGTAATGATTCTTGCATCAATTTTCTTTTCTTGTATAGAATTTGTATTATTTGATGGCAGAGTTGTGGCGATGATAGAAACAATGCTGGACATAATGATATTAGGGCTCGTTTGATAGCGTCGTATTTCATGGAAAATGTCACATTCGAGGAATTCGTCTTCTACCTTGATCGTTTGATATGAAAGTGAAAATGGAGTTCGAATTTTAAGGTACAAACACTTAAAAATATGTTTTTGACCAATTTCTTGGAAATTGAATTCTTATAATTTTGGTGATTTTTTCTTTTCAACTTATATGGAATTTGTTTGTCATTTTCATCTTTGCTATCAAATGAAATCTTATTGCTTTGAATCAGAGTAATACATACTATGTTATTTTAAAAATAGAAAAAATTAAAAAAGGTAATACATATGTTACTAACACAAAATAAGTTAACAAGGCAAAAATAGAGAATTTAGTAGCAGTAACAACTATGTTACTAAGATGAAAAATAAGGTAAGAAGTACAGATAAAAAAATTAGTGATTTTCTTGATAAATCCAGCTTTGTTTGAGGTTGTTGCGTCAAGGGTTCGAATCCTGAAATATGAATTTGGCTCTTGGGTAAGTGCAAGTGTACAAGCAGCCTTCCACCCTGTACCCTTGGAGGCATAACCTGCGATTTACCTCCCTCACGCTACTCCAGGACAGGAGTGGTGGGGACCCTTAAGGTTAGGGTTTAACCTTTAGTGCTTTTCAATTATCCCAAAAATCTTGGATGGACAAGATCCAAGAGAAATCATCCAACATTTTTATTTCTTTTGAAGGAACAATGACAATTGTTCAATCAAATTATCCAAATATCTTCTATTCATTTTCTATTACATGACCGAAATAGAAGATACACCAACGATAAAAAGTACTTTGTTGGATCGACATTGCTATTGAGATACGAAACCTATGAGAGCAAAAGGGAAACTGTATTGCATTTCATAAACAGAGAGGTTTCAGAAAATGACTAATAAATAACATTGGGAGATTGAGCCCTTTATTGCCTATTTAAACACTCGTTTAATCAAAACATGATAAAATTCAAATAATTATTTGCTTTTAAACTTAAAAAGTGACTGTTTTTCTTCAGTGCAAGCGTCATCAACACTTTCTTCCATTCTCGCTTTGTCCCGTTTCACGCTTTGTCAAACGGGAGAGGTTAACAGTTATGGTCTTTTCGACATGTAGTGGCTAATAGTGGGAAAATGGGGCTAAGGGAAAGGTCCCACATCAAACAAAATGCACCAAAATTCTTCAAACTAAACACTCATCATTTGGAATTTTCTTCAATCTTTTGACAAAGGTATTAATCACTCTTACATCATTTTTCTTTTATATAATTTGCACTATTTGGCGTGTATTTGCGTCGAATTCAACCAGTACTGTCTACTTTTCGCTAGAATGTTCTACTGGTCCAATCAAGAAAAACTTCGGTATGGACTGATATCATATGTTTTGGATGATTTGTCAGGTGAAATGAGTTTGTTGGGAAATGGAATTTCTTGAAATTTTGTAGATTCTTCACCTGTTTGAAGTGAGTTTCTGACAATTGATTTGCTTTTTTTCATTTTTTTTGTTACTTATTGTTTTTCTTTCATTTTTTGGTGTACTGGGCAGTTTTTTCTTATCCAAATAACAAGGAAAGAATTCATATTAACTTTTTGATGGTTTTGTCCGTAACATTAGGTCCTGGGTTGATGAAGTTTTAGATGTTTGAACAAATTTCAAACATCATTTGTGATTGTTGATGAGCCTCTCTTGATAGATGAGGTTCAAAGTTAACTGCATTTTTTTAACCGTTGAATTCAGATTGAGTTATACATACTAAGTTTAGAACCTTGGTATACTGATTGAGTAATCTAATCATAGTTCTATCTTAATTGTCACTTTGAATATAGTATAATTTTTGGGTTGAGTAGATATTGATTATTTAATATTTTTGTTTATTTGTCCTGTCTTTCCTATCTTCTTAGTTTCCTTAAATTGCGTCTTCAAAAGCCAGGTAATTTGAGACATGGGTTGGCTGAACAAGATTCTCAAGGGTTCCGACTACAAAATCTCGAAAGGACAAAGCCATGGGAAATATGAAGATGATACAATCTGGGAAGGATATCCTACTTCTGCGGTAATCACTGGTGGTTGATGATCATTGATCATGCACTATTTTGATGTATTTTGCATATGCATGAGATTTTTCCAGAATCTAATGCTATGAAAATGTTCTGAGGTCTTGTTAAATATATACTAGCTTTCTCCAAAAACTATTCTTGTGCTAACTAACTATTTATTTGGCAATAAATATAGGAAGCACGGTCAAATTTTGACGGAGAAGAAATTGATCATGCAATTGCTCTTTCTCTTGCCGACGAAGATGCAAAAGGGAAAAAAGTAATTGGTAAGTTGAAGGTTTGAAGATGTGCCTGTGGGCAATCATACCCAGTATGTGGAGTTCCTATAGCTCTTTGATCTTTTGTCTTGCGGTTCATTGAAGTACATCGTATCCGGCTCCTGGGTAAAATAGGAGGGTTGTACGAGGTTGACATCCAGCATAAAAGTTTGTCAAATCTATTGAAATGAATTAATATTTTTATTATGGTATTCTCAAGGATTTAGTTGCTTTAGATTTCACAGTAGATCTAACAATAAATAGAGCAGAATGGTGTAGAAAGATTCGTGTACCGACCCCAAAACTGCTGGGAATATGACCTATTTTGTCATTATAAGAAAGTAATAAATGCCATTGAATTTACAATTAAACTAGTTTTATGTTCCGAGGGATGTTCAGAATATAAGCTAAACTAGTGAAGAAATTGTGTGAAGTGATATTTTAATTTAAGATGTATGATTTATGTGCACTTCAACTGAAATTTGGGTTATTGAGCATTAAGTACTATGTATATGAACTTTTTAAGGCTTGGATTGCAGGTTTTCTTTAATGGCCTCTAACTTTATATGTGTTGATTATCAGATGATGACTCTCACTTGGAAGAAGATGAACAGCTTGCTAAGACTCTTCAGGAGAGTCTAAATATGGAGTCTCCACCTCGACATGATTTTGGAGGTTTCTTTGCACCTAACCCATACTACCATCCATCATGGTACAGGTAATTAGTCTCCTCCCGTGCCC